TAGTAGTAGTAGTAGTAGTCGTAGTAGTAGTAGTAGTAGTAGTAGTAGTGGTAGTAGTAGTAGTAGTAGTAGTAGTAGTAGTAGTAGTAGTAGTCGTAGTAGTAGTAGTAGTGGTAGTAGTAGTAGTAGTAGTAGTAGTAGTAGTAGTGGTGGTGTACATCTGTGAATGTGTGTGCGCATTGGCCCAGGGCTCAAAACACTTACGTGCCCCTAGCCAGAAGTTCCAATGGAATCAGACTCAGACCTTCCCCAGACCCGCTTGGACGGGTCAAATTGGCCCCACGGCCGCACCCTGCTGGCAACACCGTAAAAATCTGGCGGGTTGACTTTCAAACCCCTTCATGGCGAAAGGGTCGAGAGCTGTGGTCGGAGGGGGGTCGGTCGTGACAACGACGGCTCTCCCGCCCGACCCAAGTATGGTCAGAATCGGTCCCTGGACCCCTCCCGCGGCCCCTCCCGACCCGGTCTCCCAAGCGGACCCAGCCGCGGCGACGAGGAGCCTCTGGCGTGCCCCAAAAGGACGAACACGCCAGGGAGGGCCGCCGTTGTCTCGACCGGCCCTCCCCCGATGTGGGGCCAGCCGGATGAAACTACCGAGTCCCGAGGAGGCGTGGGACTCCAGCAAGCCCTGGGCGGAGCTCTCCTGAGGCCCGCGTTCTGCCGTGTCACCTGGAGGAGGAGCCTCACTGGCGGCCCGCGGGTCGGCCCAGTGGTCCAGGAGGCTTCTACGAGAGTCCCAGGAGGGCCCTCGAGCGTGCACGACCGACACAAGATGGGCCCGAGACAGGCGATGACCGCCACAAGACTGTCCCAACATCCAGGCCCAATTTGCCAGCTCTGGGAACTCTGGACGGATCATTGCTGGGGTCGCGCCTAGCCGCCATCCGCTGGCCTTCCGCCCGCTTCCGTTTGCGAGGCCGCTGCTCATTTCAAACCTCCGTCTTCCACCGAGATCGAGACGCGCGAGACGCGTCGAAGATGAGGCCATATCTGGAAGGGCCTCAATTACGGCGCCTCGAAAGGCCCCCCCCCCAAAGGTCCCCACGAAGCCCCGAACGAACCTTCTTGAGGCTCTGTGCCAACCAGCACTGCGCTATGGCCGTGTCGGGCGGAGCAGCGGAGCTTCCCTTTCGTGAGAAAAGGACAATACGGGGGGCTGGCTCGTCGGGGGAAGAATCGACCTGGCATCGGCGATGCATCGCCGACAAGTCCGTGAAAGGCCCCCATGGCGAAACCACGATCGGCGACGAATGGGCTGATTGCGGGCTGCTTACCTCCCCGAGCCAGTCCCGCCCGCCTGCCGCTTCCCCCAAATGAAGGGGAACTGTGACACACAAATAAATACACACAAATAAAAATATCCCCCATATTTTCCCATATTTTCTGGGTCCTTGTCTTCCCCCCCACTTCCCATATTTTCCCATATTTTCTAGGAATCGCCGATTAATTGTGTCTGTGTGTTTTTTCCCCTCCTGACCAAAGCCAGTGTTGAGTGGCGCGCCGGTCGAGGCCGCTCGCTGTTTTTGGACATCACCGCCCGAGCGTCGTCCAACCTATCCTATCCCCGCCGGTGTGGCCTGGGCCCCCCTGGCCGATCTGCCCCCTTAGATGGGGACATCGGCTGCGCCCTTCGGGTTTCGAGAGGTATATCCCCGACTGGTGTGGTGAGACGGTAGGGGGCTCGGGACGGGGATGGGGATGGGGATCGGTTAAACGATACCGACCTCCAGCACAGGCGGCGGGCACGAGGTCGGGCGTGTTTTTACAATTACCCTGGCGACGTACCCAACCCTTGCGCAATGCTGGGCATGAGTAGCTTGAGAGACGTTATACGGAAGTGATCACGTGACATGGGCTCGCATATTTCTGCGAGCGGCATTCGTGAGGCTCGCAGCTCTTCAAGGATTGTGAGGTCCCGCTCAGATCTGCGTGGTGCCTCACTCCGCTGGACCCGCCACCAGCCTTTGAAAAGAACGACAGTTTCGCAGATCGCAGCCCCGCAGGGGCGGCGAGGTCCCGCTCAGATCTGCGCGGCGCCTCACTCCGCTGGACCCACGAGCAGCCCTCGAAAGTGGCGACAGTTTCGCAGATCGCAGCCCCCTAGCGGCGGCGAGGTCCCGTTCAGATTTGCGCGGTCTCCCTCCGCTGGACGCCCTCGAAAGTGGCGACGGTTTCACAGATCGCCATGCTGGCCCCCCAAGCAGCACTCGAAAGTGGCGACAGGCTCGCAGATCGCAGCCCCCCAGGGACGGCGAGGTCCCGCTCAGATCTGCGTGGTGCCTCACTCTGCTGGACCCACCCCACCAGCAGCCCTCGAAAGTGGCGATGGTATTGCAGATCGCAGCCCCAGGTCCCGCTCAGATCTGCGCTTCCTCACTCCGCTGGACCCACCAGCACCCCTCGAATGTGGCGACATATTCGCAGATTGCTATTCTGGCACCCAAGCAGCCCTCGAAAGTGGCGACAGATTCGCAGATCGCAGCCCCCCAGGGACGGCGAGGTCCCGCTCAGGTCCGCGCGGTGCTCACTCCGCAGGACCCACCAGCAGCCCTCGAAAGTGGCGACAGATTCGCAGATCAGGACGGCGAGGTCCCGCTCACCAGCAGCAGGACCTCGAAAGTGGCGACAGATTCGCAGATCGCAGCCCCCCAGGGACGGCGAGGTCCCGCTCAGGTCCGCGCGGTGCCTCACTCCGCAGGACCCACCAGCAGCCCTCGAAAGTGGCGACAGATTTCGCAGATCGCAGCCCCCCAGGGACGGCGAGGTCCCGCTCAGGTCCGCGCGGTGCCTCACTCCGCAGGACCCACCAGCAGCCCTCGAAAGTGGCGACAGTTTCGCAGATCGCAGCCCCCCAGGGACGGCGAGGTCCCGCTCAGGTCCGCGCGGTGCCTCACTCCGCAGGACCCACCAGCAGCCCTCGAAAGTGGCGACCGCATATCGCAGCCCCCCAGGGACGGCGAGGTCCCGCTCAGGTCCGACCCACCAGTCGAAAGTGGCGACAGATTCGCAGATCGCAGCCCCCCAGGGACGGCGAGGTCCCGCTCAGGTCCGCGCGGTGCCTCACTCCGCAGGACCCACCAGCAGCCTCGAAAGTGGCGACAGTTTCGCAGATCGCAGCCCCCCAGGGACGGCGAGGTCCCGCTCAGGTCCGCGCGGTGCCTCATTCCGCAGGACCCACCAGCAGCCCTCGAAAGTGGCCACGGTTTCGCAGATCGCAGCCCGCCAGGGACGGCGAGGTCCCGCTCAGGTCCGCGCGGTGCCTCGCTCCGCAGGACCCACCGGCAGCCCTCGAAAGTGGCGACGGTTTGGCAGATCGCAGCCCCCCAGGGACGGCGAGGTCCCGCTCGGGTCCGCGCGGTGCCTCATTCCGCAGGACCCACCAGCAGCGCTCGAAAGGGGCCACGGTTTCGCAGATCGCAGCCCGCCAGGGACGGCGAGGTCCCGCTCAGGTCCGCGCGGTGCCTCGCTCCGCAGGACCCACCGGCAGCCCTCGAAAGTGGCGACGGTTTCGCAGATCGCAGCCCCCCAGGGACGGCGAGGTCCCGCTCGGGTCCGCGCGGTGCCTCATTCCGCAGGGCCCACCAGCAGCGCTCGAAAGGGGCCACGGTTTCGCAGATCGCAGCCCGCCAGGGACGGCGAGGTCCCGCTCAGGTCCGCGCGGTGCCTCGCTCCGCAGGACCCACCGGCAGCCCTCGAAAAGGGCGACGGTTTCGCAGATCGCAGCCCCCCAGGGACGGCGAGGTCCCGCTCGGGTCCGCGCGGTGCCTCAATCCGTTGGACCCACCAGCAGCCCTCGAAAGGGGCCACGGTTTTGCAGATCGCAGCCGCCATCGTCGGCGAAGAGAGGGCAGGAGGAGGCGGGAGCCGGGAGGAGAAGGAGAGACGCGACCACGCCCCTCTATCCAAAACGAATACCCCACCAAGGAGGGTTGGGAAAAAACAGTTCACGCTGGCTTGTCAGTTCGTGTAAAAGGTGGTCGGGCCATGCCCCGCGCAGGGCTGCGAATGCCACGCTTCGGGCGGGACTCCCCGCAGACCCCATTCCGGCACAATGAGTATCCTCATGAGACTCCGCAGCTGAAGTCGGAATCGGGCATCGCCTTTAGAAACGGAAAGAAGAGCCGGCATCTTCGGGCGTCGTCACCGGGAGGCTCTGAATGCCAGCTGCCTGGCGCTCGTCGGCCTGCCTCTTTTTTCTCTCGGCTGCGGCCTCGTCCTCGTCGTCCACCCCCCACCTGCCGCCGCGCAGCGCTGTGCAGCGATCCTGGGTCCGTGGCGCGCGCAGCGCGGCACTCAGTGGGGCGGCCGCTGCGCGCGACGCGGGTCCTGCCAGGCGTCGTTTCCGTCTCGAGGAGGGGGGAGAAAGGAAGATGCGAACAACCAGTGCCCTCCTCCTCCTTTTTGTCCGAAATCTCCTGCCTCCGTTTCTCTCTCCTGTCTCGTCCTTCCCTAACCACCACCGCCTTCAGCGCGAGCGCCGCAAGCTGGGCCATGACTTGGGCCATGAGCCAAATGCATGGATTGGGCCCCACGGGTTGCACCGCAGGTTGGACCATGGGGTGTACCGTGCACGGGTTGCGCCAGAGTGTGCGCCATTAGTGACGCTAAGGAGCCGTGGGTTGTGCCATGGGTTGCGCCATGGATGGGTAGCCCAGTCTGGCTGTTGCGCAGTGAGTTGCGCGATGAGAGAATGATGAGTCAGGCCATGTGTTGCGCCATCCACGGGTTGCGCCATGCGCTGCGCCATGGATCGAGTACTGTGCCAGACATTGCGCCATAGGCTGCGCCATTGGTTGGGCTATGGATGGGTTGCGCCCTGAGTTGCGCACTCAGTCGACGAAGATAAGACGGCCTGCTCATGAACGCGACCAGTCAATCGAGAAAATCGGCCAAGCAGCAAGTCATGCAAAGCATTGAGTCGTTCAGCCAGGGGACTCACGGCGAACACATTCGGGCTTCGCCCGAAAAGGCCCTCCGCCTCCTCAGTATCATCCATGTCACATGTTCCTTCTGCTTTCTCATCATGCTTCGCCATGCTCCTCATGTCCACGACTTCCCCCTCCTTCTCCTCCTTGTCATCCTCCTCCCCCTGCGGAAGGTCAACGTCGCGGACATGACATAGGCGTTTGTGTCTGACACTGCGTTGATCGTCTAACCTTGAGCGATCGCAGCTGTGCACGCTGGCCTCGCAGCGTGCGTCCTCGTTCCTTGCTGGCGAAGCTGACGAGCTCGCTAACCTCCACGCGTGCGTTTGTTGCAGGCCCTCGCGCATGCACATCCTGACCCCTGCACAGGCAACAGTAAGATCCAGCCATGCAACGCCACACCCATCCCTACTCTCTTCCCTCCATGATCTTCGCACGCATTTCCCAAAGTGGGGGGTGGATCAGGCCAGTCCAGGCCCTGCGGAGTGATCCAGCAAGAGATTCCCAGGAAGACAGGGGGCGACGCCGAGTATTCTGACGTGTCACAAGGCGCGGTGGCGGATCTGCGCGGGAGCGCATGTGGATAGGCGCATTTGCCGAGTCAATCACACGTGCCAAGTCGGCTGCGAAAGCCTTGGTCTGGGTGGTGGATTTGCGCAGCTCGGTGATGTCTTGGCCGATGCTAAAAGCACCCTCTATTTTCTCGGTCCCATCACGTCGCGTCGTCGCGTTGAAAAGAATGTAAACGTGTTTTCCAGCCTTTGTAACCAAACATACCTCTACGTCGGATGTGTCAGTTCCTTTGCAGGCTAGCGTGAGTGCGTCGTGGACGGTTTCCTTGTACTGCTCGTCGACGAAGTGGTCAACCAGATTCATGCCGCATGTCTCCTCCTTGGAATAACCCAGCAGCTCTGCAGATTTCCTGTTCCAAGTTGTGACCTCCAATTCCAGATTTACTCCAAAGATCGGAACGTTGGCCGAATCAATCATCCGCATCCAGGCATCCGCAATACGGCAGTTCTCCACCATCAAATCCTTGAGCTCCGTGAAGTCTTGCCCCACGCCAATCACCCCCGTAATCTCCCCGCCACTCCCACGGCGCGTGGTCGCATTCAGCAGGATGTACCGCGTCTGCTCGCTCTTTGTCCGGATTGGGATCTCGTAGTTGGCAGTCTCGGTGCCAGCCAGGGCCAATGTCAGCACTCGCCGGACCTCCGTGTTCCGCTGCCACATGATGAACTCGTCAACGAAGGGGGTACCGATTACCTCAACCTTTGCGAAGCCAGTGAGGGTAGCCATCTTCTGATTCCACTCATTGATCGTCCCTTCGGTGTCCACTCCGAAAATGGGCGCGTTGGCCGTGTCGATGAGCCGATGCAGGTCGTCGGCGATGAACTTTGCTTCGTTCATCGCCTGGCGCAATCCGGTGATGTCCTGACCAACCATGATCGCGCCGATGGTGTTGCCGCCCGCGTCGCGGCGGGCTGTCGCATTGAGCAAGATGTCTACCTGGCTCCCTACTTTGGTGATCAGGGGGAACTCGAAGTTCGCGGTGTCGTGACCCTTGCAAGCCTGCTCCAACACTCCTGCGACCTTCTCCTGGTACGGCTCACTGATGAACGTGTTGACCAAATGTCGGCCCGAGCTCTCCTCGAACGAGAACCCAGTCACCTCGGCCGCCTTCCGGTTCCATTCCGTCACCTTGCCGTCGATGTTCACGCCGAAAATGGGGGCGTTGGCGTTGTCGATGAGGCGCTGGTAGTGGTCGGCCATGCGCTTCTGCTCTAAACGGCTCTGCTCGTAATTTGTGATGTCCTGTCCTGGGGAAACCGAAAGATACCGATACCGCTACACCCCAGAGGACCTCTCTTGGTGCGTTCTGTCCATAATTTCGAAGCGAATCCAGCGGTGGCGACAAAGGTCCCCCAGGAGGCCCTAAAAGGCGAAAGGGAGGGCCACGGTAAAGGTATCGGTACCTTTCCTCCTCTGATGTCCGACGCCGATCACGCCGATTATCTCTCCGTCGGCACCGCGGCGAGCAGTCGCGTTCAGCGAGATCTCACGCCTGCGGCCCTCTTTCGCGAAGAGTGGGAAAGTGAAATTTGCAGTGTCGCTACCGGCGAGAGCTCTCGTGAGAACCTCAGACACTTGACTCCTGAAGTCTTCGGATATGAAAGTGTTGACAAATACCTTGCCAAATGCCTCTTTCTTCCCCCACCCTGAGATCTCCGTGGCCTTCTGATCCGCAGCCATGCGCTCTGGCACGGCGAGGTGCGGTCGAATGCCAAGGGGTGTCTGGCAGGGCTTCGGTAAAACTTCTGAGGGCCACCCTCATCACCGCGCTTGCTCGGGTGCACTGCCCCCCCCCCCGCCCGGACCCCCACCCCTTCCTTCGCAATCCACCCGGTGGAAGCTGTGGGTCCGCGCTGCTGAGGCCACGACCCCCGGCAAGCAAGACCGTGAACAAAAACTTGGGCTTGCCTGCCACGGCCCCTCGTGAAAAACAGATGATGCGCTCCCAGAGGCCACGATGCTTGGAAGAAATCGCTGATCCGTGCTCTTGAGCTTCCAAGATGGACAAGGCAGGCCACCAAGATCGCCAAGATGGCCCAACATGCCTCTGAGACAGCCCAAGATGATCACAAGACGGCCCAATGTGGCCTCAAGGTGGTCCAGGAGGCCCCCAAGATTACCCGTAATAGAGTCACAGCAGACCTCAATGGGGCCGAAAGAGGCCAAACTCAACTTATTCCTCAAGTGTTTCAGCGGCATGGGCGTCTCTACCTGACTGGGCTTCCGTCAGATCACCACGGCCAAAGAGAGAGCCCCCAAATGACAAAAAAATCCACCAATGCGGCCTCAAGACAGCCCAAGAAGGTCTGCGGAGGGACCCAGGACGGCCTCAGAGAGCCGCTCGACTGCACAATACGGACCCAATGCGGCCCCACGACGGGCGCAAGAGATCCCCAGATGCCCAAGAGGGCCCGAAGAGGATCCAAGGCAGCCCCAAGACGGACCAAGAATACATGCCCGAAAAGGCAAAACTACGCCAAGGAACTCCCACGACTAATGAGAACACACAGTTACACATTTGACGGCCATCGTCTTCCTCCTCCTCCTCCTCCTCCTCGTCGTCATCACCACTATCATGCGTTTCGTCATAATCAACACCACCGTCATCATCACCACCAACATCAACATCATCTTCGTCATCAGTATCATCGTTGTCAGCATCACAACCGTCATCATCAATAACGAAAATGTCGTTATCAGCATCATCCTGGTATCCCCCTCATCGACTAAAATCCTTCTTCTCATGTCCTTATCATTCGAATCAGACTCCTCATCACCATCCTCATTATCATTACCATCACCACTATCACTGTCATAAGCATAATCAGACTCACAATCAGGAAACGACTAAGAACAAACATAACAACAATAACAACAATAGTCATCAGTATAACCATCATCATCATCAACAGCATCAGCATCCTCTTCGTCATCATCATCATTGATAACATCCTAACCATCATCAATGACTATTAGCATCACCATCATCATCGTGATGGTCGTCGTCATTGTCATCGTCATCGTAATCGTCATCATCATCAGCATCATCATCATCAGCATCATCATCACCATCATCATCAGCATCATCGTCACATCACCATACTAAGCATCATCAACATCGTTGCCATCACCATTGTCATCGTTATCAGCATCATCACCACCATCATCACCATCATCATCATCATCATCATCATCATCATCACCATAATCATCGTCATGATCGTCATCACAATCCACGTCATCATCATCATCATCATCATCATCATCAGCATCATCATCATCATCATCACCATCAACATCAACAGCATCAACACTATAAGCATCATCAGATTGCTCCCCCTCCTCATCGTTGTAACCATGTTCAGATCCTCATTTCCGTGTTACGGACCCCTCGAGTTTCGGGCCTGTCGATCGCAATCTGAAGTGCTGGGCTGGCACGGTTGCGGGACTTGCCGCAGGCAGCCGAATTCCACTCGTTCACAAGTCCTTTCGTATCGATTCCGAAAATTGGGGCGTTCGCCGTATCGATCAGACGGGTCAAATCATCTGCAATGCACTTGCTCTCAGTCAGAGCCGATCTCAGGTTCGTGATGTCCTGCCCTACGCCGAACACGCCCACGACCACGCCCTTCTCGTCCCGCCTGGGCGTTGCATTGAACAAGATGTCAATCTGTTTCCCCGTCCTCGTCGCCAGCGGAAATTCGAAGTTCGCCGTCTCTCGGCCATTGCGGGCCGCCGTCAGCACGTTCTGCACCCTGTCCTGGTGGTCTCGGGCGATGAAGTTCTGCACCAGGGGCCGGCGCACCACCTCGGTCTTCAGGTAGCCCGTGACCTCCGCGACCTTCGCATTCCACTCGTTGACATTCCCGTAGATGTCGACCCCGAAGATCGGCGCGTTGGCGGTCTCGATGAGGCGCTGCCAATCCGAGGCCATTCGGTGATTCTGGGCGCTGATCTGGTTGAGCTCGGTCACGTCCTGACCGACCCCTATCACGCCGGTGATATCCCCATTGGCCCCCCTGCGCGCCGTAGCGTTCAAAGAGATCTCCCTCCTGTACCCGTCCTTTGTGAACAATGGGAACGTGAGGTTTGTCGTGTCACCTCCGCATAGGGCCTTGCTTAGTACGTCTCCGACTTCCTTTTTGAATTGGTCTGAAAGGAACGTGTCAACGAATACTTTGCCGATGCATTCCGCCTTCCCATAGCCCGATATCGCTGCGGCCTTCTGATTCCATTCTGTGACTCGACCATTCTTGTCGATCCCAAAGATGGGCGCATTCGCGGTATCAATGAAGCGCGCCAAGTCGTCTACGATGCTGGATCTACCTGTGAGATCAACCCTGAATTCTGTGATATCCTGACCCACGCCGAGCACTCCGATGACCGCGCCACTCTCGTCATGCCGGATCGTCACGTTTAGCAATATCTGAATATGTTTCCCGCTCTTCGTGGCGAGCGAAAGTTCGAAATTGGCAGCCTCTTTCCCATTGCGGGCGTCCGTAAGGAGCTGGTCCACCGCACTCCTGTGCTCAGCAGAGATGAAATCCCGGACAAGCGGGCGACCAAGCGCCTCCTCCTTGGAATAGCCCGTCAGGTCTGCGGTCTTGGTGTTCCACTCGTCAACCTTGCCCGAGAGGTCCACGCCAAAAATCAGGGCGTTCGCCGTCTCGATCAGGCGGGAAAGGTTGTAGGCCTCGCGGGTCATCTTTCTGACTGCGTCCTTGAGGCTCGTGATGTCGTTCCCCAGGCCGAAGACCCCAACGATCTCGCCTGCGCCGTTCTTTCTCGTTGTGGTGTTGATGGCGACGTCAATGTGCACCCCGTGCTTCGTCTGCAGAGGGACTTCAAAGTTCGCCCTCTCCCAGCCGCTGCCCGTTTCCGACAATACTTCCTGCACACGGGCGTGGTGAACCTCAGGAATAAAATCTTGAACGAAAGGTCTGTCGAGCGCCTCCTCCCTAGAATAACCCGTGATCGATGCAATCTTGGTGTTCCACTCATTCACATTACCCTCGAGGTCCACACCGAAAAGAGGCGCATTGGCGGTTTCAATGAACTGCTCCCACTCTTCTGCAAAGCACCGGTGGTCCTCATTGTTCCGAATCAGCTGAGTGACGTCCTGCCCGACCGCAATGATGCCTGTAATTTGTCCTGCAGCTCCGCGGCGCACTGAAGTGCTCACCAATGCCTCGCACTTCTGGCCATCCTTCCTGACAAGATGGAATACACATTCAGTGGTATCGTACCCGAGCAAAACCATGTTTAGAGCCGTCTCGGCCTCTTTATGGTGGCCAGGTGATACGAACGTCTCCACGAAGGGCATGCCCAAGGCGTGCTGCCGTTCGCAGCCAGAGATAGATGCTATTTTCTGGTTCCACTCTGTGACACGCCCATCCTTGTCGATGCCAAACACCATGGCGCTGGCGGTGTCCATCACACGGGCCAAATCTTCAGAAATGATTGCGGTGCCCTTGGCTGCAACGTCTGGTTCTGTAACCTCGTAGCCAAGGCCAAGAGCTCCGCATACATTCCCAGCCGCATCGCGCATAACAGTGACAGCAAACAGCCTGTCCACGCGCTCCCCACTCTTGGTCAGCAGAGCGATCTTCAGAGTGCACTTGTCCAAGGAGTTCCCCAGCAACTTCTGGATATCCCCAGCAGACTCCTTGGCGACGAAGCTCTTGACCAGAGCCTGCCCTTGCGCGTGCTCTCTGGAATACCCGGTCAGCTCTGCCAACTTCCTTAAGGGGGGAAAAATACCCCCCGGTAATAACCACCCCGACAAGCAAGGCCGTTTAGTAAACGCATCCAAAGAAATAATCGAACAGGGCAGCGCTGTTCAGTAAAGGCCCAGGGCCGTTTAGTAAACGCCAAATATCGGGTCCGGGTGTTTTTTCTTCCCTCGATTCCTGTTCCATATCGTGACGCAACCGCCTTTGTCGATGCAAAAGACTGGCATGCCTGCCGTCTCGAACACGCGCTCCAGAGGATCCTGGTAGAAGGGATGCATGCTACTGCTGGCCTGCTCGGCAACGAAGTGGCCGAACAGCACGCAGCCGCGGACCACGCCCCCCTCCTCGCGCCACGGGGTGGCATTGAAGAAGACCTCGAGACACTTACCGTCCTTGGCAACGAGTAGAGCAAGAGAAGCCTGGTCTGAACCTTTGCAGGCCTGCGCGATGAGACGGCCCACATCCGTCTTGCTCCTGCCGTCCACGAAGTCCACAAAGAGCTTGCCTTCGATCTCAGAATCGGAATACCCGAACTCTCCGGAACGCCCATTCCAGCTGGCGATCCGGCCGTCGAGGTCCAGCGAGAAGATCGGTATCGACAAGGCGCTCAGAACGCCCCTCGCCCGCATCGTCAGACCCCCGTGCCCACTGGGAATGCCGTGCCCCCGAAGGTCGACCTGCCCCCTCGAAGTGGGGATGGGTGCCGCGAGACCCCACGGAGACGGCATCCGCATCCATTCCTTCCCGGGGGGCACAGGTAGGTCGGACAGCCGGGCCAGGGCATTCCCAGTGGGGATGGGGGCAGGTCTGACGCTGCTGATGGACCTCAGACTACTCTCGGAGAAAACATCGCCGCTGGTCCCAGACATCGCGCCGGTGCTCGACGACTCGAACCCGTCGGCCGCCGATACACCTGCCACATCGCCTGCCCACCCTCACAGCTCGCGGCCAGGGAGCGGTGAATCCTTGAGCCAGAACGGTCACGTGCGCGTGCATCAACCTGCCCTTATGTCGGGCGTGTCCCCCTACAGAGGGATTTTCGACGAAAAATGAAAAATACCCCACACATGCCCCAAAAAGGCAAAACAAATACTCAAAACATAGTCCCCGGACTATTTTCGGAATATTTTTTGACTATCTTTGGGGCATTTTCTACTTTTCGTCGAACATCCCCCTGTAAGGGGGACAGGCCCGACTCAAACCTGCCCCTTGGTCACTGAACTTGGCGCTTCGCGCCCCGCGGTGCGTGGGTGCCTCCACGCCCTCGCGCCGCCGCCCTGCAGAAGGGCACCACGATGCACCCCACAGCAGTGCCCTTCGATTCTGCATCTGAGTCTGCGTCGGCTTCGCGGCGGGCGTGGTCCGCTTGAGGCAAACATCGCCTGCTCGACAGCGACCGCCGTCGGTTTGGACAGCACTTTGCTGTTAGGGAACGTCCCCGCTCTCTTCCGTCCGCATTCCACGCGTGCCAACGCTCGTAGGCGCCTCCAGAGCCGCCTCGAAGGGAAGCCCTGGGCCACCCGCTGCCCGCAGGTCCTGGCTGCTTCTCGGGCAGCGCCCGACCGTGGCGACGCGACACCCTGCCCGAATGCCAGGGTGCCTGCGGCCCAATGCCAACGAGGACGCGGCCAGATTCCTCCCTCCCTCCTCCTCCTCCTCCTCCTCCTCCTCCTCCTCCTCCTCCTCCTCCTCCTCCTCCTCCTCCTCTCCTCCCCCCTCCTCCCCTCCTCCCTCCCCCCTCCTCCCCCTCCTCCCCCTCCTCCTCCTCCTCCTCCTCCTCTTCCTCCTCCTCCTCCTCTCCTCCTCCTCCTCCCTCCTCCTCCTCCTCCTCCTCGCCTCCCCCTCCGCCTTCCTCCTCCTCCCCCTCCCCCTCCTCCTCCTCCTCCTCCTCCTCCTCCTCCTCCTCCTCCGCCTCCTCCTCTCCTCCTCCTCCTCCTCCTCCTCCTCCTCCTCTCCTCCTCTCCTCCTCCTCCTCCTCCTCCTCCTCCTCCTCTCCTCCCCCCTCCTCCCCCCCCTCCCCCCTCCTCCCTCCTCCTCCTCATCCTCCTCCTCCTCCTCCTCCCTCCGCTCCCCTCCTCCTTCCTCTCCTCCCCCTCCCCTTCCCCCTTCCTCCTCCTCCTCCTCCTCCTCCTCCTCTCCTCTCCTCCTCCTCCTCCTCCTCCTCCTCCTGTCGGCGATGCCCTGCCGTGCCTTGCTGACAGGCGCCCGGACCCTCGGCCCCTCTATCCACACCCGCAGCAAGTGTTCGACGAGGTAGGAGGAGGGGGAGGAGGAGGAGGAGGAGGAGGAGGAGGAGAGGAGGAGGAGGAGGAGGAGGAGGAGGAGGAGGGAGGGAGGGAGGAGGGAGGGAGGGAGGGAGGGAGGGAGGGAGGGAGGGAGGGAGGGAGGGAGGAGGAGGAGGAGGAGGAGGAGGAGGAGGATTCATGGGGTGGACTTCGCATGAGTGCCGCGCCGAGCCTTGCCTCGTGTCGGCTGTGCCATGGACGGCACCGCCCGCTGTGCGGCCTGGGTGGCCACGTGCCGCCTCGCGGGCTCCGCAGTGCTGCCCGCCTGCCGTGCGCTCGCCCTGGCCGTGCCGGGCCCTGCCTGCCCGGACGGCCAGGAGCTGCCGCTCCGCGTGTCGCGGCGGTGGCCCCAGCGACACGCCCTGCGGGCTGATGGCGCGCCGCTCCGCTCCGCGGGGCGGGAAGCCGGGAAGGGCTCGGAGCGAGTATGCTCGGGGACCGGATGGTGGTCGGCGTGTCGCGCCGAAGCGTGGCGGGCCAGAGCAGACAACGCGACACGCCGAGTCAGAGTTCTTGGCCGCAACGCTTCGGGATCAGGACGTGCGGTCGGCGCACGGGGCGCACGGAAACATTGGCATGAAGAGTACGGCAGGGAGGCAGTGGGTCCTAGACCCCGGGGACCTGCCCCCAGGACCAGTTCTTCCGCACCCTACAGGTTGGAGTTGTTAGGAGACGCGTCACCAAAAGCCCCCCAAAACGGCACGCCTCGCACACCCCGCACACCGCGGCCGCCAGGACCCCAAGGGTCCCAGTGCTCCCCGGGTATCCCGCCTCGCGTCTGCAGCGAATGACGGCTGCATGGCGCGGCCGCCAGGCCCCGAGGGGCCCGGCGCTCCCTGGGTATGCCGCCTCGCGTTCTCGGGTGGGGATCGCTCCAAGCAGCCTGACACATGCAAGATGACTGTTTGACGGTCCTGGGGCCTACAGCCATCCGCGAAATCAAACGCAGGTTGCTTCTGCGACGTGGCGGCGCCGATGGACCGCCCATGCCAATGCTCGCGCCGCGTGGCGCGCACCGCCGAACATTGAACTTGGGGGTGGGGCAGGGCGAGGGGGGGTGCAGACAACTTGCGCTTGACTTCGAGGAGGGTTTCAGGGAGGGCCCGGGGAGGCTGAGTGCGGCGAAACGCCGGAAGCCCCGTGCCCCACAGGACCCGCCTGCGGCTGGCGGCGGCTGAGTGCGCGCGGGCGCGCGCGTTCCCTGGTTTCCATTTTTCCTGCCCTCTTGATTCCCTCCCTGATGCCGCCCTGTCGTTGGTCGGTCGGCTGTTGCTCGTCTGTCTTGTCGTGCCGCTGGGCTCCGTATTCGCTGGTAGCAAAAAATGTCCCACAGGACCCTCGTGCTTCACAGCGAGCGAGCGAGCCAGCCAGCACGGGCGCCCGTCGATGACTGGCGCCCAGCTGATAAAAGGGAAGACGGCAGAGGGATAAGATGAGAATCCTACCCCTCCACCTTAGGACAGCAGTGCCGAGCAGCACTGCACGGCGCACGCAAGCGAACGCCAGGAAGCTACATCACGGCTGAGAGCCGGAAGACAGGCGGGAGGCGCCTGAGAGAGCCGGTGGGCCAGCAGAGCCAGTCCGAGCCCCCCCCCCGAGCCCGCACCACGAGCCTCCCCCCGCCCCAGCAGAGGCCGCTCGCTCCGACCGGAGCGCCAGGACGGCACGACGGGTCCATCAGCGCGGAGCCGCAGCCCAGCAGCGCAGCGTGCGGCACGCGCGCCGCGGCAGCGGGCCCGAGCCCCCGGCGCCCGGAGAGCAGCGCGGGCGCGAGCGCCGCGCGCGAGCCGTGGGCGCCGCCCGCCCGCCCGCCTGCCATCCCCCCCCTGGGCAGCAGGCCAGTCGGGCTGCGGAAACGAGGAGCGCTGGGCAAGACACGAAGCCCCTTGTTGGCACCCGCAGAGCCTGGGTGCACGAGGAGGGCCAGAGGGAAGCCCCGGGCAAGAAACGAAGCCCCCTGCTGGCACCCGAAGGGCCCGGGCGCACGAGGAGGGCTGGAGGAGCAACCACAGAGCGACCAAAGGTTCAGCGAGCCCCTTCCGAGTCAAACGCCGTCCTTGTTTCCACGTCTTGAATGCAGCCTGTGGCGCGCGGCGTCAAGCGGGGCGCGGGGGAGCCAAGCCCACGCGCCCAGTGGGCCCCAGTGCCCCCCCGCCCCCCCTCCGCACGAGCCTGCGGGGGGCGGCTCGCTGCTCTCGCAGTGGGTTCGGAGCCCACCTGGGGGTGAGGCTGCCCCCCCCCCTCGGCTGCACGTCAGAAGTAACCAGGACTCGCGCTCTGGCGGGAGATAGATTGATTTGCGGAGGTCGGTTCACTGCCACGACCCGCCCATGACAGGCCTCAACTTCGCCAGCTTGAAGCCTGGAGGCAGAAGCGTGAGAGTCAGGGTGGGTTCAGGATGCTGGCGGCGAAGGTGAAGGTGCTGGTGAGAGTCAAAGGGGCGGCTACGATGAGTGGTGGTGGCGACGCGGCTGGGGTGAGTGTGAGGGTGAGGATGGTGAACGTGGCGGCGAGGACGAAATTGAGAGTGACGACGAGTGTGACGGGTGATAGGGCTGCCTGCGGTGGAACAGTGCGGGGAACGGTGGGGGGAGGCTTAAAGAAAATTCGCCTGGCGAAGGACCCAACCATATGCAGTTGTGAGTACCGCCTTTGTGGGTGTCTTCTTCGGTGGCGTTCCCTATGGACCACGCAACGCTGTACTGGGGGGGGGGCGCCGCATGCGAACACCGCCTTTGGGTCCTTCGGTGGAGCTCCCTATGGGCCACGAAACGCTGTACTGGGTGGGGGGACGCATGTGAACGGGTCCATTGAGGCCTTCGGTGGAGCTCCCCATGGGGCCACGACACGCTGCACCTTGCGGGGGAGACGCATGTGAACGGTTCCATTGGGGCCTCAGGTGAAGCTCCTTATGAGGCCAGGAAGCGCCGTGCTGGGTGGGGGAGACGTATGTGGACACTGCCAGTGGGACTTACGTGGAGCTCCCTTTGGGACCACGGAGCGCTATTCTGGGTGGGGGAGACGTATGTAGACACCGCCACTGGGGCCTCAGGTGGAGCTCCCCATGGGGCCACGAAGCGCTATGCTGGGTGTTGGAGAAGGATGTGGACACCGCCACTGGGGCCTCGGGTGGAGCTCCCCATGGTGCCACGCATTGCTGTGCTCGGCGGGAGGGACGTGTGTGGACACCGCCAATGTGGCCTCAGGTGGAGCTCCCCATGGGGCATCGAAGCGCTGTGCTGGGTGTTCGAGCAGGATGTGGACACCGCCGCTGGGGCCTCGGATGGAGCTCCCCATGGTGCCACGCATTGCTGTGCTGGGTGGAGGGGACGCATGTGGACACCGCCACTGGGGCCTCAGGTGGAGCTCCCCATGGGGCCACCAAACGTTGCGCTGGGTGTTCTGACTTGTTGCCGATGGTGGTGGCGAGGGCGAGGATGGTTGTGGTACTGAAGCTGATGACGATGATGGCGATGCTGATGCTGATGATTACAATGGTGATGATGACGTCGATGATGATGCTAACAATGCTGATGATGATGATGATGATGCTGATGATGATGATGAGGATGATGCTGACGCTGATGCTGATGCTGATGATGATGCTGATGATGATGATGATGATGATGATGACGACGACGACGACGACGACGACGTGCGGAGGGCAGAGGCAGGAAAGGGAGGAGGGAGGAGGGGGAGGAGGAGAGGAGGATAACGCGGGGCGCTGTCTCTTCAAAAGAAGGACCCAGCACCAAATGATGGTTGGGACCAAAGTAAGCCGAGTCGAAACTCTGGGGAGGAGCATCGCATCTGGAAAGAGCTCCGCTGGCGCGGCGATGCGGCGGCGCAACGGCGGGATCGACTGCCCCCCCGCGCCGTGGAGTCGTTCTCGGCCGCCGCGACAAAGGCGCTGTGCAGCTCGCGCAAGTCTTCGGCCTCGATATGCCCCCCCATGCGCCCTCCTCGGTCCTCCTCCTCCCTCCCCTCCTCCCAACTTTCTCCTGCTCAACTCAACTCAACTCAACTCAGTGCGCCCGAAATGGGGAGTCGTTGATGCCGAAGCTCCCAGGCCAGGAGGGGGCGAACTTGCACCCCCAAGTGGTGGGTCTGGCAGTGCGCAAATGCCCTGCGCGCAAGCCCTACTCATTGTCTCCTCCCCGCGAGATTCCGACAGTTCCTCCACGAGGCCACTTCGCGTCCCTCAGGCGGTGTAAGTAGCCACGACGCACCGCTGAGAATTTGTGATTCCTCCTCTGGCTCCTCTCCCCCCTCTCAGGGAGGGAAGGGGGGATACAAGGGGTACGCCTATCTTCCTCCCTCCATCTCTCCATCCACCTTCCCCCTCCTCCCTCGTCGGCGTCGTCGTTGTCAGCTTCTTTTTTTTTCACAGCAAAGCAAGACAAAAGGCATAGTCCTCTGCCCCTCAAGGGGGCTAACCCGCAACACGGGCACGGACAAGGAAGACGACGCACCTGGCGAATGCAGAATTATCGCCGAGACCCTGCAGCAGCCCTGCTCAGCAAGCTGTCCTGCGAACGTGGCCGAAACACCGCCGATCGAAGTCGACCGCGGGGCGAAAAGACCAAAAACTTGCAATGACCCTGGACCCGGGAAGAGGGAGAAAGGAGGAGGAGGAGGAGCTGGAGCTGGAGCAATCGGACGTAGTCCGTTCGGGCGGGGACGGGTGCCTGGGGAGGGCCATCAAAATTTTGCCAGCCGTGCCGAGGGGGGCGACATCCCTCGCACGCTGCGACAGGCCCTCCCCAGGCCAATTTACTCTTGAAGAGTGCTTGCACTGCGCCACAAGGCGCCGCCAGGAAAGCCCCAGGGGAGGCGCGGCAATCTTCGCACCACGCGCGGCCCAACGGCCAGGGGTCCAAAACCAAAACGCGCCCATCAGCTACGCTTCAGCCTCGCGCGGAAGCGCCGCTTGTGGGCCCTCATGTCTTCGTCATCTTCAGGGTCGTCGCACTCCCAGGGGGGGACTGCCGTGGCCTGCACGGCTACCTGCACTATCTCGCTCACCTGGGTCTCATCCTTCGGCGCGTCGCTGCTGTCCTCGTGCGCCGTCGGCTCCATGAAATACGGGATGGCGTTGTGCTGGTCCGCGGGCGCGGTGGCCCTGTTAGAGAGGCTGACGTCGCTGCCCTCCTCGTACGCCGTCGGCTCCACAGACTGCTGGACGAAGTTGTCGGGCTGCTGGATTCCCTGCATCGGGTTCTGCTTGCTGTTGCGGACGCTCTCGTTGGCGGCCTCATCCAGGGACGCCTCATCCATGACGCCCATCGTATTCCACATGCCGAGGGCGTTGGTGTCGAGGCGCGGGGGGGGGACACCTGCCGCGTGGCCCTCGCTGCACCCAGAGAGGAGGGCGGCCTCGTGGTTCGTCAAGTACTCGAGGAGTCTCGATTGACTCGCTGTGTCCGAGGGCGTAGCTGTACACTGCGTGCTGCAGACGGTGCCGGCGAGCTGCGCGCGATCGATGGCATTCACGCCGGCGTGCGGGTCGCCGTCGAGGCTGCAACGCTCGTCGGTGCTGTGATCAGCCGTCCCCTCGGAGCTCCCCGCAGGCCCCTCGGAGACGATGTTCGTCACCACGACGTTCTTCACCTCCAGCTTGAGCAGCCTGTCGTCCATGTCCTGCTCGCTCTTGTAGCCGAAAGCGGCCTTCATCTTCTTCACGTCCTGCACCATCTGGGTCTTCTCGCCCTTCTTGTCGTTCACTCCCTTCTGCAGCTCGTCCTCGGGGTCCGAGTCGCACATGTCGCTCTCCGCGTTGATGTCGGTCGTGGCCACCTCCAGCTTCAGCAGCCTGTCGTCCATGTCCTGCTCGCTCTTGTAGCCGAAACCGGCTTTCATCTTCTTCATGTCCTGCACCATCTGGGTCTTGTCGCCCTTCTTGTCGTTCACTCTCTTCTGCAGCTCGTCCTCGGGGTCCGAGTCGCACATGTCGCTCTCCGCGTTGATGTCGGTCGTAGCCACTGCGCCCACGCTCCCTGTGGAGGCGAAGGCCTCGTCGGAGGCCGCGTCGTGAGGCTCGTCGGCGAACTTGACAGGCACCGCCTGCATGAGCCAGGAGTTCGCGACCTCGACGATGCGCTCCGCCGCGCCAGGATGGCGGATGAGGGCGCTGGCTGCATCCAGCTCGCGCCAGGCGCGTACCAGGTGGGGTGGCACCCGCTGGCCGTCGTCCCGCAGGCGAGCCAGGCCTTGCGCAAGGGTGCTGCCACCCACGGTCGCCACGAGTGCCGTGGCAGCCCCCAAGACCCGCTGGGCCTGGCCGCCCAGGACTTCACGGCAGCAGGTCCCTGTCCTGCAGGCCTGGTCCAGGCCGCCTTGCAGCTCCCGCATCAGCAGCGCCGCCTGCTGGGGGTCCCTCACGTGCGCCAGTGCGGCCCCATGACGCACGGGGATGGATCCAGCAGCATCGCGCCGCCGGGTCATGATTGCCCGCGCCGCTGGGCGGGGGGGGCTGCCGTCTTGAGCCACAATGGCTACGGAGGGAGAGGAGGAGGAGGAGGAGAGGAGAGGAGGAGGAGGAGGAGGAGGAGGAGGAGGAGGAGGAGGAGGAGGAGGAGGGGAAGAACACATAGGCATGCAAGTATTAGGCTGCGTCCCCGACTTTCCCCAGCCTGGGACAAAAGAGACAGCCGCGATGGAGGGGGTGGGGGTAGCAAGGAAGACAACAAGGCAAAGCGCGCTGAAACTGCAATGCGTCGGCCCACAAACGAAAGCGACGCAGGAAGCCGAGGGCAATCAAGGTGACTAGATGGCCGTGTTATGACCGCAGGCGGCCGGCAAAAGGACAGCGCGGGCACGTGGACGACTCCCTGGAAAGGAAGCGGTCGGCGAGACTGGGGGCCCTCCACCAGCCACCTCCGCGTGCTCCGACGCGAACGCCAACTCCCGCACGAAAGGCGAAGTCCGCACCACGATGGAGGAGAAGAGCGGAGGGAGAGAGTAAACCAAATACTGCTGATTCGGCGGGCGCCAGCAAGCAGCGGACAAATCGTGCCCCCCTGGCCAGAAACGAAGGCACGCACGTGACCCTATCGGCCACACGGCTAGGACAACAAACGTCCCCAAAGGGCTCAAAAACGACAGCCGAGGCAACAGCGCAGCCCACGCGTGCCCGCGGCAACATATGCATCACATTAAACGGTCAGGAAGAGGAGGAGGAAAGAGAGAGAGAGAGAGAGAGCGACAGAACACCAAAAACGAAAACCGACCATTTTTGACTGAAAATGGTCGGTTTCTCTAGCGGCTTAAATCTCGGCGAGCATCCAGAGACAGGAAACAGGAAAGGAAAAGGTGGAGGCGCAGGATTCCCGACGCAATGGTCCTGCAGCCACCCGCACAGGCCGAGCCCCCCAAACGAGGTGGCAATCACCCAACCATGGCCCAGCCGCGACGGGGCACAGCCACCTCATTGGCGGGGCTCGCGGAGGAGGAGGAGGAGGAGGAGGAGGAGGAGGAGGAGGAGGAGGAGCCGAGAGCAAATCTCAAGGAAAAACGAACGTCACTCATTACCTAAATCGTCTTGAATTTGCGCTGCCTCCCCCAAGGCGATGCGGAAGGCGCCTGGCAGATCCTCTTCTTGCACTTGCCCGTGCCAGCGGGCATTCAGAACGATGGAAGGCGTGCGCGGCTCTCCCCCTGCAGGGCGTGGCCTCTTCCGACCAATCGAAGCCGAGGAAGACGTCCAGCGCCTGCTGCAGATCTGACGGGGCGGCTCCGGCTTCGCGCTGGAGGGGCTGGGCGAACGCTGGGCACCTGGCGTAATGCACGATGCTGTCGTGGCGGGCGCTGCACCCGTAGTGACATAGGCCTACCCCTTGAACGCGCCGCTTGGGGCACCAGCTGTCGCGCAGCAAGCGCAAGTACGCGGCCACGACACGTGGCGGACACCTGGCGGCCATCCAGCGCAAGCGTCCCCGGGCACGCTGAAGCCGATGTCCTGGGAGCGTGGTCGGTGGCCATTTGTCCAGCTGCCGCCGCAAATGCCGCAATGCCGGGGTATCCGCGGCGTCCCGCAGTAAGGCGGTTGCGCGGCGCTGCCATCCAAGCTGGCTCGTCAGCCACTCGGCGCCCCTGGCGGCTCCCTGTAAGTGCCCCTCCATCTCTCGTTCCCCAGTGGCCAAATGTTCCAAGAAACTGTGGCGTTTCCAATCGCCGAACCAAGCGGCCCGGCTCAAGGAGGCGTTGTCGTGGCACTGCAGCCCGCGGATGCGCCTGGCACGCCGGTGCACCTCCAAGGCGCCGCCGGCTTGCTCGCCGCAGCCGCGGCACGGGCATCCTTGAGGCTGGCGGGCAAGTGCGCGGCATCGAGATGCCGGAGGCAATCTGCGGTCACCCAGCCAGCGGGCCCACGAAACAGCGCTACGCAAGCCCGTTTTTCATGGTCCGTCAAAGACTCGGGCACGGGCTCGAGCTGGGCCATGAACATCAGCACCGACGCTACAAAGTCCCCGTAGGCCTGAACAGCCATATGCATACCCGCGCCAAGTGCCCCCCACAAGCGCGATCGTTCCTGGCACTTGCCCAGCGGTCGGCCCCAAGAACGCAGCGCGCGCCCTGGGCCCACATAGAAGCCAAGATACTTGGCCGCGCTCACAATGTCCAGCCCGCCCCAAGCTGGCACTGCCCTCGACAACGCAGCCCGCAGTACCTCCGTATCCATCGGATCCAGCGGGGCGATGATTGACTTCAGAATGTTCAGCCAGAGCCCAGAGCCCCGCCACGCGGACGAACTCCTCGAAGAACCGCCTCAACTCGTGACGCCTGCGGAGGGCTCGCGGCATGACTAAAACCAAATCGCCCGCCCATGCCCGAAGGGGCGCCTCCGGAAAACGGCCAGCAAATCGGCGCAAGTAGAAGTCGGAGACGATGGCGAACAGCAGCGGCGACAGGGGGCACCCCTGGCGGATGTCCCGCGTCTGTTCGATGCCAGGACGCAGGCTGCCCTCCAGCGATATCTTCCTGTAGTTCCACCAATAGAAGCATCCCGAGCGGGACAAGGGCTGCGCTGGCCACCCCGAGCTCTCGAAGAAGCGGAACGCCAGCCCGTGCTCGATAGAGGGGAAGGCCGCGGCGAAGTCGAAGAACGCAGCCTGTGCGCCCTCCCCCGCCGCGGCCTCCTCCAGCATCCGCTCGCCCACGTCTAAGAGGTTCGCGATCATCGAGCGCCCTGGGGCGACGCCCCTCTGGCTGTCCGTGATCCGCCGCGCCAGGAAAGGCCCAACTGCTATCCGTATCACGCTGGCTAGCAGCCGAGCGTCGGTGTTCGTTAAACTAAGTGGCCGGACACCCCCCGGCGCATGCGCGCCCGTGCCACCCTAGATCTCGCCGCTTGGGGTCTTGGGCAGGAAGATGAGCGAGGACTCGTTGAAGTCAGGGCAATCCGTCGCAAGCAGCGCCTGGGCATCTGGCCGGCAGCAGTCCAAGAGCGCCCCGTGCAAGGTCGACTCCGCCAGGGCACCGAACCGCCTCCACGCAGCGCAGGGGGCGCCGTCAGGGTCGGCGGCAGATTTCCAAGATCGACGCAGTGCGTCGTCGACGTGTTCGCGACGGGGGCGAAATCGTCGAAGGCCGCGCTGGGGCGGCGCCTGGGAACCCGCCTGCGGCCCCCATACTACGCTGTCCTCAACGGATCGGCTCTCAGCGTCCTCCCGCAGCCATTCCTCGAGCAAGGCCCCGCCCGCCCCTCTCGCTGCAGAGACGCCCGCCCAGTGGCGGCGCAAAGCTGCGGCCATCTCTTCGGGCGCCGCGGCGCGTCCGCCGTCGGGCAGGAGGAGAGGACCTTGAGAGATGACCCGCGCCCAGGAGCAAGTCGGTAGAGAAGCCTAATGCCCCGCTGCCTCGCCTGGGGTGCTCTTTGGGGATCCCTCGCCCTGTCCGCGTCGACTGCCTGCCGGAGCTCCGTCACCGCGTGGGCCCGCGCAAGTGCGACAGCACGGTCGCGGAGAGGACGGAGACGCCGCTCAAGCTGGCCAGTGACATCGCATGGGTGTTGCACAAGCGTGGCCATATGGGAATATCTCTCCAAGCGTGTGGAGATCTGCCCCACGGCCCCCGCCTCAGCGCCTCTGCTGCCCGCGGGCACTTCATTGCGACGCCAAGCTTATCCTCGTCGGTCTGCGCAGCCGCCCTGCCCCCCGAGGCTTTGCCGAGATGCGAAGCCACTTCCGTCAAACACTTGTTGGGCAGCTGCAACCTGCGGGGCCCCGACGCTTCCGGCCCTTCCCGGCAAGCCGCGTGAGAAGCGAGAGCCGTCCGCTGGCCGAAGTCGTCGTGTCCGACGCGTCAGTGAGGCGCACGACGGAAAATCAGGACCGCCCGGCGATTGGACAGCCCCGGCTTCCACTCCAAGGCCACCGCCTTGGTCTCCCTGTCGGGTTCTTCCGCGGCGTGGGCGTTGTAGTAGGAGCGGTCTAGCCGTGCCCTCGTCGAAACAGATGCGAATGTCATGCCATCCTGATGCAACTCCTGCGTGTGAAACGGCCCCCCCGCGACGCTCTGGAAGTGTCGCTCTCTCCGCCGATCTCGCTGACCTGTGGTCTCCCCCGACGAGCACGCGCGCCGGTCGGCCGACTCTGGCGCCCAATTGAAGCCCCCGCCCAAGATCGACAGCACCCTGTACGGGAAGGCCATCCGCCGCGCAATCCGCGCACGCAACTGCGCACGTAGCTCTGGGAACGTCGGGGCGGCCGAGAGCTGTCAAGGGGCCGCCCCGTAGAGGTCGGCCGCGTGCACCTCCGCGCCGGTAGGAAAAAATACTCCACCAAAATTAACGGGGCGCCGGCGCCGCCACGCAACGACAACATCGCAGCCCTGCCAGGCCAAATGACCGACCAGCGAGGCGGGTCAGAGAAGCGGGCCAGAAACCTGTCCTGCACCACGATGCCGACCCCAGCGTGGGCCGTGGAGGCACCTGCTGACCACCAGGCCGAGCATCCCGTCGGCGGCCGCCAAATCAGATGACCGCCCTCCGTGCCGTGCGCCTCCGCGATGAGAACGGCATCGCTTCGTGCCAAAAGAGAGCAGAGGTACCGCATCTTCATCTCCCGTCGCCCCTCATCTGCCGCAAATAGCGCCTGCGCGTTCCATTCGATAAGCGTGACGTCCCCCTGGTACTGCTCGCAGTCGCGCTGAGCCCCTGGCGCTGTTGGCAACGATTGCTGTGAGGCACCAGCCGAAGCTGGCACAGCGAGCGCAGGTGCGGCGATGCTGGCCCGGGGCGCGTGGCCCAGAGCTCGGTGAAGACGTTGACGGCGGTGCAACCATATTGGTAGATACATGCTGCCGTGAACCCAGCCTCGCGGAACCAGGTCCTGCTCCTCAGAATTGCAAATGTGGAAGATGTGGTAACATACGATCCTCAGAAACAAAAACGGTGGGCCCCTCGATCGCCCCCCCAAGGGAGCGGCAGAGTTGGCCATGTCCACTGGCTGGTACGGCTGCGAGCGGTGGCGGCCAACGCCATTCG